CTCGAAATGTCGCGGGGTCCAGCTTCTATCTAGACCTGAAATTCGATAAGTCATTATTTTTTCTTCAGCAAGTAACACCGCTTGCCACGTTGGAACGCGGGCATTGAAGTCTACTTGCGTGAATCGATCCTCGCGTTAACTCAATGCCGATATTCCGATTGAAATTGCAACTAATAAAACGGTCCTTTTCTTTGCGAAAGAGAGAAGGAAGAAATATCAGAATATTTTTTGGTCTCATATCGTAATTATTTTCTATATGTATACTCTTAATCGCTTCTATTTTATAATCTTGAACGATTATATTGATACTTATAAGCCTCTTATCTATCCCTTTCTATTAATGTAAATAAATTTTAATCTCGATTTAACTTACTTTTAATCTTTTTCTAATTATTAAAACTAGAAAAAAATAAAAAGTAAGTTAAACCGAGATCAAAGTTAATCTACATTGGGGGAAATGGACATTAGATAAACGAACGATCTTTTCGCGAAACTTTCGATCCAATAACGTTTCGAGAAATTAAACACCGAATTATAAGGGAGTTAAGCGAACCGTACCGTGGGTACCTACTTTGATGAATTTTTCCTCCGAAACACTAATTAGTTAAGTCCTGATAACGATTCTGCGGTTCTGAGTGGGCGCGGAGCGAGCGCGAGATTATAAATACCCGCGCCGGAGCCGCAAAAGTATAAGAAAAGTTTAATCAGGACTTGGAGAAGGAGGAGGGAGGGCCAGAAGAGCGGGAAAGAAGGAAGGAAGGAGGGGGGGATCGTCCTCGTGACGACTTGATGAGATAACTTTGCCCAAGTTGTGAAACAATGGGCGTCACGATACGTGACTTCGTGCGAGGGTGAAAGGAGAATCCGTGCTCCCTGCAGGTGCAGGGTAGGGAAGGGGGAGGAGGAGGGAGAGAGGGATGACGGCGGAACGAGACTAAGGGGCCAGACACGCGACCACCTTGGATACCCGCCCTGTCCTGTGTTCCTGAGGTGTACTACGACGACGATCGTACACCTCTGTGTATTCTGCGCTGCGTGAGTAGGCGTGCTTCGTCCTTCCGTTTCGTGTGAGGAAACGGAGCGCATTTTTGCGTGCGAAAACGCCTGTATAAACTCCTCAGTGCTGGTACCGGGGTGCTAACAACACAGTCCACGTGATACCTCGTGCAAAGCTTTGGGCAATATTATCACCAGCGTTTGACACGAAGTGTACTAATATAGAGGCGTTAAAATAAAGTAGGACGCTGCATTTTACACATATATATATAGTCTTTCAAGATATTATAGTTAATGTCCCAAGAAAAAGACTGCACACTTTTGTGCGGCGGACGATCTTATATAGGCGAAATGAAAAATCGCCACGCGCGAATTCCTGATGCATATATGTACGAAGGATACGTCCTGCACGTACGTCGTGAGCCTCCGGGAGAGGAGGAAGATAGGGGAGGGGGACGTCGATTAGACCGATTACCGCCGGGGTCGTCGGGGGTGGGCTCGGGGGTGCGTCCGCCAGTTCGCCGGCTCATCACGTGACGTGATGTCACGTTACCTGGTGGTCGCCGACAGGTGTTCGGGTTCGCACGACCAGGTCCGATCGCGCGAGCAAGGACTGGGCGCGCGGAAGCCCGTTATCCGGCGTAAATCCAGCCACATAATGGTAACGAGCACATCCGCGAGCGGATGAGCGACAAGAAGCGCGCTCATAACGCTCGATCGATCTCTCCCCCGCAAGAATAGATTTTATAAAAGAGAAGAAAAAATGCGAGCACCTTTCAGTCCCCGACGAAAAGAAAATCAGACGTCTAGGAGAGAATGTCCTGGCAGGAGAGAATTTAGATTCCAAAATAGGATAAAATCTCGCGAGGTATACAAAGAATTTTATATATATGGAGTATGGACAGAAACTACGCGGCACGTTACTCGAATGTGCGTTTAATTTCTCTCGCAGCGCACGCTGAACTCGCATGAGAGGGACACACGATTGTTTCGAAGGCGCCTGTAATTGCGCGGCGCCGTGGGATCACGACCACGTGGGTCCCTCCCCGGTGGTCCCTCGCCTCGCCCTTTGCCCTCGCCCGTCTCTCCACCTGAGGCTCGTCGCTCCCTTCCGCCAGTAAATTAGATATTACGATACTAAATGACGTTATTTAACCCGCCCGTGCGTGCCCGTGCCCCGATGGAGTTGAATTTATGCAGGTGTACGACGAAAGTCGCGCTCGCGATCATCGCCTATATCATCGCACCGTTGCACGATTAGCACGATTCTCCGTTCGAGCACGTCCGTTCGCAACGCGGTGCGGACAGAAAAATGCGATTTTGACCGCGCGAGAGCCTAAAACACGTCCGAAAGAAAGCTGTGGAAGGCACTCTTCACGTTACTTCGGGACGTCTCTCAAAAGTTCTTATCGATCAGTTATCTAGAATCTAGATAAACGCGATCGCGCGAGCGTGTATAACGCACATTGGAATTACAATCGCGAAGGTCAAAGGACGCGGAACACGATCGTGAGGCAAAAGTAATCGATCTCTTGACCGTTAATCGCGGACTAGAGGATAATTACAGGACGGCCGCGAGCTGCAACATTAATGAGAGCGAGGAGACCGAAGGGAGGGAGCAAGGGGGGAGGGGAGCGATCTAGCACGCGCCGCCAGCTAATTTACTTCATAATAATTACCGGCGGCGCATTAAACATTCGTTATACGTAGGTAACGTGAAAGTGTCAGGTGCTGACTGTCCCAGAGGCAACATTAGAAGGCAAACGTTAGGCTACGTATCGTATATACGATATATATATGCTATACGTTGGCGGGTCTATTGCGGAGGCGCCCGTGTATAACGTACGTACAACGCGCCTCCTCTCCGCGCCTTCGCATGTGTAAGACTCGCACCTGCATCGCCGCCCGAGGTCTCCCAGAAGGACGAGGGAAGAAGATCGTAATTTCTCTGAAAATAGAGCGACTGAAGAATCGCGTTAACTCTCGCCCGTGCGAAAGTTTCCTGAATTTCCGTACCGATTCGATCAAACTTATGCCGCGGAGGTTCGACCTCGCGGCGCGATCTCTCGTGATTTTTCCTCATATTTTCAGATGTTCGCTGTATTATACTTCCGAACGAATTTAGAAAAAGATTTTTTTCCCTACCGCTCTGCGATGTCGTTTCTCTCTCTTACAATTAAAACTGCACTCGTAATTCTTGGAACTTTTAAGCTCCTTCTCCTCCCTTTCTCTCTCTACTTCCATTTTCATTTTACTGCTAGCCGTCCATTTTTTCTCTCTTCTTGAAAAATTTACACTACGATAAACGTATTTCCTCTCTCTCTCTCTCTCTCTCTCCTTTTTTTTCATATTAATAAATTCGACGAAGTGTGCGCACGATGAGAAGTAAATGACGAATGACTTAAAAAAATTATGCATGTCATAAGAATTACAGATCGAGGCCGTGTAAGATGTGTATGTGCGATAAGCGTCGGCGATCAGTCATCGCGAGGCCGCGACGTGTACCGTCGAGCGATGAACCACACGAATCGCAGATAATACCAGACATAATGATTGGCAGATCAGAATCTCTCCGGTTACCTGAAATTGCGGTACTGGTCGTTATTCTTTCGCGACAATGAATATTTTAGATCGCGCTATAGCAGCGTACATTCATTACGAACTAAATTTGTAATCTGAAATCAATTTTAAGTACAGTTTTACATTCGAAATGAACTCTACCAGTTTCTGAACCTGAATATTCCGAGCGAACGCTTTTCCCTTCCGCTTGCTCGATACATAAATTAGTTTAAAACGTTAATTGCAATTTATAATAAAATAATATATTTCGTAGTTCGAGCTCGAATGGGATGTATATTTAAAGTTTAAAGCGAACTGCGAAGCCTTACTAATTACAAACTCGATCAACTTTCGATCGCCTCGCAACGTTTCTGGTAGATAATGACGCGACAGCGAAATAAATAGTAACGCATTAATATCCATTAAATATTGAAGAGCACAAGAACGTTATACAGAGTCTCTTGTCGCGGGGTTATCTACGCGTCCTTTCGCACATCACATTCACGTGACCTATTATGTTGCCGCGGATTGCAGATTGGCCTCGCGATAACACAGTGATAAAACGGCGAAGGAGAGGAGAAAACGATTGGCACACGTCGCGATTGGCCAGGAGGGTCCGCGCCCGCATTTCGCCTTGACCAACGACCGACGATCGCATCGACGCCGGCAACGAATCAACCGGCGACGTGACAATGCGCATGCACTCGGAGGCGGGGTTGTTCGATTCGAAGTGACTCCCGTGTGTGCTGTATACGTGATACCGCGATGCTGCAACACGTGACGTGACGCGGCGCGTTATCGCGTCTGGATGAGGCGAGTATCCGGATAGTCGGGGCGAACTGCTAGTCCGACTTCCGACCGCTCCGACCGCCGCCGCCGCAGGGAGTTCGTTACGCGAGATCGAGGCTTTTTCGTGAAAAAAGCTCGAATCCTCGCGCAATCGTAATCTTCGGACGACTTGGATTAATTCTTAATATTTGTTTCGACGCGACGAGTGAACGTCGGATGCGGGAGGATAGCAAAACGTCCAGTTTCAGATCCCGTTGACGAGATTATTCAACGCCTTCGAGCATGTGTACGAAAAACGCGTATGAATAGTGAAAAGGGAATCGGCCAGTATAAATGCGAGTTGTCGTCGAAGAAATTTTGCATCAACGAAGAGTTTGCCGATGATGTACGAGTCGAGTTTAATTCTAAAAGACTATTAAAGTCTAAATAGTATATGGACCTAGAGTCTATTTCTTTTCAACTCTTATTCATAGTTGCGTGCACTTCAAATATTGATGTTTTTGGACAATTTAATATTAATTATTGGCAATTTTTCTAATCCTATTATATTCTTCGGTCTTTTTTACCCCTATTTTATATATAATTTTTTTTAATTTGATTGATTAGACTCAGAGTTGTACGCGATCAAAGTTTCGAGGTCCATATATGAACAGTGTAGTCTAAAAGTGATTGAGACTTGAAGTGTAGCCTTTAAGGGTTAAAATTTTCTATATTTATTTCTACTTCGTTTAACGTCTTCATATATCTTAATAGTTTTGTACGCAAAATATACGCATATAAATAGTGACATGTATCGTAAAACGGACAAACAAGTATGCACATGTTTCTGAGAAGAGATTCCCTCGTCGTGATCGAGTGCGGTTCACCGAATGGCACCTTTCGATTTCACGAAAGATGTGATTGTCGGCAACTGTGGCGCAAGTTATGCCTGAAGCGACCCTCAAGGTTCGACTGATTTTAAAGACCGTCCATTTATGTGCGTCTGCGACCTAGGTCTCATAACGCCTGTACTTCTCTTCTGTATTATTAAAAGAACTCACCGTTCGAAGATCGAAGAGATGCGTAAAATCCACCTTGACCCCGCGCATTGAGAGATACCTTTCGGAAATGAGTTCGCACTCCCATGCGAGGACGTTGTGCACCGGAAACGCAGTCTCTGGCGCATTCTCGGCGCTACATCTCCTGCGGAGTTACAGCCTCTTCGCTCCGAACTCAGGTGCGTAAATCGCATATGAAATCCTGGAAAAAAATTTAATTATATACATAAAATATGTCCATATATTTTTTTCTTGTCTTGTATAATATCTGTTCGTAAGTTCGTATAAGAAAAATAAAAAAAAATAATTAGAAGGATAATTTTCGCAGTTTTTTTTCACAGAAAAGTGATACTTTTTTGGTATTCCTCAGTTTGAAGAAATGGAGAAAAATTGCCCATATATAATCATATATATAATGTAATAATCATACATAAAATATGATTATTATAGAATGTCGTATAATTTAATCGCAATTTTATTTTTTGTAAAAAAAACTGCGAAAATTATCCTTCTAATTATTTTTCAATTATTCCTCTTATTATTTTTCTTATATATGCGAACAGAGATTATACAAGAGAAAAAAAACGTATATGGACATATTTTATACATAATTATCTTTGCAAAATTTTTTTTGAGACGCGCGATATTATTTTCTTCTGTTAGACATATTTAACGCCAATTTATTTTACAAAAAATTAATAGAAATTTCACAATTTCGTACTGCGTGTTACTAAATTCTGACTTTGCACGTGATATATTATATAGTCTTTTATTTTTGCGTCAATACACACTTTACACTAGATAAATATTTCAGACATATCGCACGATATCTTTTATTTGTCGCTTATTGTCGGTCCCCGTTATGCACAAGTGAGCAAGTTGACCGATATCTAGATTGATGTATGATATTTTGCAAGCTTCTTCCAAGTCCTCCGATAGCCGTGATCGTCTAGTGGTTAGGACCCTACGTTGTGGCCGTAGTAACCCAGGTTCGAATCCTGGTCACGGCAATGTGAGAACATTGTCACGGTGGAGGTTTTTTTTTTTTACACAAATTTTTTTCTCGTATTCTTTTATTAATGCTTACACCATTAGAATAATTTATGTTAATAAAAAAAGCGTATTATTATATTAAATTTCAACAATTTCTCGGAATAACTCGAGGCAATCCGAACAATTTATTACTCCGAATTCATATAAAATGTCAGAAATAAGAATAATAATAATTTTTATAATTCAAAATATCCGTATGTGTGCCTGCGAGTCCCATAGTTCGTATCACAGGCTACAACATAATTTATTATTTGCATACATATTAGTATTAAAAAAGCTATCGAGACTCTCGTTTGCCTAGTTAAGTCGGTTTGATTTTTGCGAGCACGCATTCTCGTTACAAACGGCCGTCTTATTCGCGGCATCGCCATTATATCGGTGTTTTCTTCCCTTAAAATTGTAACTGGCGCGTTCGAGCAGTTTTAACATCCGAACGAATTTTACGACTTGGCTTTAACAGCCGTGGAGCAAATTCGCGCGAACGCTAACGCTTGCACAGTTTCGCACGAACCACGACGTGGTCGTTGCATTTTATCATCACGACATTTCGGATCGCGATATTTCATCGTCGGTATAGCATGCACGTTATAGCCGCGCGCGATAGCCGGACGGGGTAAAAGTTTCAACTTCGCCCCGGGGCGAAGTATCCAAGTGTCAAATAAATCTTGCATCGATCAAGCGAGCGAACAAACTGCGCTCCACATGCAGCTAATTAATCGCGAAGAAAAAGGGGGGGAAGAAGCGAGTGTTTATTACACCTTTTATCGCCTACATGAGAACTAATTTGTATAAAAAGTTGAAAATATTAAACAAAGAATCACATAATGGGGCGTTACATTGTACGGGAAAAAAATATATAATATTTGTGTTATTGCATGTAGTAAAATTAATTTTATAAAATAAAAATCTCTCGTCGACGAAATGTTATTTCCATCTTGATTTTTTACGATATATTATTTAAATAATGATGCCAAAAAAAAATTATAAATGTACCCCTGGTGGGACTCGAACCCACAATCCCCGGTTTAGGAGACCGATGCCTTATCCATTAGGCCACAGGGGCGGTCGGTGGAGATGCCGCTAAACCGTATAAACCTTGCCGCCCAGCAATTTAATTCTTTTTTTTAATTTTATAATACAAAATAACTGATATGTGATCAATAGAATGCGCGGTTTTTGTTAGAATGAAATTATAATTAAATTAGAATTGAATTAAAATTAAATTGCTGTTTTTATTCGCAGATCTATGCAGGTACGAGGCGTACCCGTCCCGGGACTACGGCTTCGTCGAGCCGGATATTTTGTCGAGTTCCGTGCCGGCGGATTCCTCGCCGTTAACGTCCTCTTCCCTGTCAGCGACGCTCTCGCTGCCGGGGACTCTGCTTCAGCCGCCCTTTCTAGCGACGATGCCACCCTTGATGCAATCCCTGAGCGTGCCTCAATCCTTCTCAACTTCCCCCACAGGTAAACTAGTCTCTGATCTTTTATATATTTTAACGTTCCGATCTTCCCTTTATACATACATAAATCTTCCGATACGTCCATTCGCATAGAGGGGCTTTCTATTTATTCACCGATTAATAGGAGGGAGACAACTGCCTCGGTAGCGCAGTAGGCAGCGCGTAAGTCTCATAATCTTAAGGTCGTGAGTTCGATCCTCACCCGGGGCATTTTTTTTTCTCTTCCACACAAAATCCTGCCGTCTCTGTGATAACACATATATATGATAATAATGTGTATATTTTTATTATTATTTTATGTGTGGGCGAAACAGGTGCTATGAACCGCCACTTCGTCACTACGAATGGCATGACCGCTCTCCACAGAAGACCCAGAAGCGAGAAGAAACCGATTCCGGACGAGCAGAAGGACGAAAAGTATTACGAGAGGCGTAAGCGGAATAACCAGGCGGCGAAGAAGTCGCGGGACGCCCGCAAGATCAGGGAGGACCACGTAAGGATGACGCGCACAGATATCGATCTTAAAGCCGCGACTTAATTATCGCGATTAATTCAATCGGCGCAATTGCTCGCGATAATTTCGAACGTAATTCCTAATTTAATCTTCCTCTTCGTGTATCGAACGACAAAAAATTAGCATAATTAATCTCAATTAACAAAAGTTAACTGTGCTCGACAGGTTAATCGTTGATTCTTCCCTTATTCTAAATTTTAAAGGATCCTCACGCAGGCTCGAGGATTCGGCCCCCGTGAAATTCTATTTGACTCGCGCCGAGAAATTCCGACGTTATAATATAAAAGAATTTAAAAAATGAAGATTTCTTTATATAATTCAAAAATAAAACTTATGGCCCCGGTATATAGTCATTAAAAATTTTAATCTGGCTTTCACAAAAAAGGGGGACCTCTATATCTTTATAGCGGACGACGTAAATTGAATTCACTGGCGAGTCGCTAATCAAGTTCGACGTTTTCAATTCGTATAACATCTGGTTTACCTCTTTTCACAGATCGCGCTAAGGGCGACGATGCTGGAGCACGAGAACGCGATCCTGAAGGCGCAGATAGTGACCCTTCGGGAGGAGGCGCAATCCTTGCGGCATATGTTGCTCAAGCAACACGCCCCGGCGATCCAATCGATCGAACGATCGCTCTCGTCCGTGACGCCCGTGACGCTCTCTCCACCGCGTACGAGCGCGGAGAGAGAGCGTCTGGATTGTTAATTAATTCCCCCGGAGATTCCTCCGAAATGCGTGTGTGTACGAATGTTTATTATACATACGAAACTCAAATCCGGTTGCGATTTGTACCGGCGAACTCGCGCGAAACCAATTTCATGCCCGTTTCTATCAACATAGATTAATTTTAATCTCGGTTTAACTTAACTTTTTCGAAAAGTAAAAAAAAAATAAGTTTATTAAATCGAGATTAAAGTTAATTGGTAAAAATGGACAATCGGTTTCAGAGAAGATTAGGATAGAATCCGAAGAGACTTCGGAGACTTTATTATTTATTGTTGGAATTATTATATCATCCATTTTAAGTGTAATTATATATATGACTGTTGCTTGAACGCTAATAAAAAGAGATGATTCAAGATATACGAACCAGAAACTAATGTGCTATTATACGAAATCATCCTGGAAGTTATTTCATCTCATCTCGCGGAAGCATTCTCCACAAAATCCATGTTGCGTTTCTTTTTCTTTTACCGCGAAAGACGAAGCTGTCGTGTTATTCAGATAAAAATATAAAAATATCCTTACGAGACATCTAACGGCGTAGTAAAACATCAAAATTTGTAGTAACCAATAATCGGTATGTGCTCAAAAGGTAACTAGAGAAATTGATATTTTCATGTATTCTTGTATGTACCTGAGCGAAAAAGTAATATATATGTATTTATATTTTAAGTCGTTAGGAATAGGGAAATGGAAAATCCGAATAAAAAGATTTAGATAAAGAATATTTATGACGCGCGTGCACTTTTGCAACGTGGACATTTTTTTCAAAGTGTCTAATTACAATATTCCTATTAATCCTAATTCAAATTTTTTTTGAATAAACAATTTTTTTTTTAGAAAGAAACCGATACAATGAAAACGTGATAAACTAATAATGTTACGTAGCATAGGAGTGATGTGTATATACATATACACATATGTATAATGTACTTATTTTCTTTTCGAAGAGTGTATATGGGGATAAAGTTTATATACACTGAAAAGAATGGACTGTGTCGCCCCACACACGACTAGTCTTGTTTACCGTATAAAAAAGTACTTTAATTACAATACAATAAGAAACATTGTGACGTACATTTGAATTTTATATATATAATTTATGTATATATATATAAACCTTTTCGGTGTGCGTCCTATGCTAGTGTATAGACTACTTATACGATTACAGGCTACTCCTACAAGGAGAATATAGAATTGTAGATACAGAGACACATAAAGATGATACATAGACGCTCTAAGTAGATAGAAACGCGCAACTACTTTTATCGCGGGGAAAAAAAAAGAAAAGAAAGGAAGAGGACAATGTCTACGTCCATCCGTCTATCATCACGCACATCCGTGTGTGTGTATCTGCGTCGAGTCGCGCAAGAGTTCTCTGACCTTCGCCGGTGCGAGACCTCGCAGAGCTGCGAGAACATTGTCGCATTTAAACTTTACAACCGTGCCTTATATCCCTAAAGTGTCCGGCGAGATCGAATTTTTACAAGTGTGCCGTTGACCCCCTCCAGGAGGACGACGCTTCGAAACGACGCTTCTCGCGAGAGAAACTTCGTCGTTCCGTGAGGAAAAACTTACATCCCTAATTACATTTAACGATATACATATACAATGACGCCGTCCGATCGTTATACGATCATTCCGTCGTCAGAGCTCCTATACCCTCCGTTTCTTCGCTCTAATAACGCTAACATTTAAATATTCATCTACAAAGGCATTACATACTTGTCTTTCTGTAAAAACCTGGAATCGATGACGACGACGATGTCGACAAAAACACGCGAGTCGTTTGCGATGCAATCGCATTCTAGACCGCGCGTCGGATCACCGAAAAATGGCAGTAATCGCGTGCCAGAGAGCATGCGGATGGTAAACGCAGAATTATGCGAGTCATTATGCGAATCATTATACAAATCAATTGGCCGCTATTACAGCGGTCGCTGCTGCCGCCGCCGCCGCCGACGATGACGACGACGACGACGACGAAGATGACGACGACGTTGATGAGGACGATGACGACGAGGACGACGATGATTTCTTCTTCAGCACGATGTCCTTGATATTCAGATTGACCTTCTCCTTGTGCAGCGGCGGCACCGATTGCAGGCAGAACCGCTTGAAGGCCTCCAGCTCGCGTTCATCATCGTCCATCTCCTCGTCGTTCTCTATAGCTTTGGGCGTGAATACCTCTGTAAAAGACACGTTCTGAATACTGGATACACCGACAGCCCGCCTGCGAGCGCGGCAATGATTGGTAAAATCTGCTGTGCATTACTTCTCTCTCCCTCTCTTTCTCTCCCTCTCTCTCTCCCTCTCTCTCTCTCACTCTCTCTCACTCTCTCTTGTCCACTGTGTGGGTATGGGTAGAAGTATAAAGAGACGAGAAAAAAAGAACAATTATGTCAACGTGTGTTTGACGAATATCTTGGATATCGTCCAGATAATGGGCCATGCATTCGCGGAGCAACACAAAATCAATGAGACATCCGTGTCGAGTTTGCAAATTCCTCTCGCAGAATCATTATTATGTTTCTCTCTCATTACAAGTACAGTTGTTAATGCTCATTTGAATCTTTCCTAACTTTCTTCGTTGTTACAATTAATAAGATACTGCTCGAAAAATTGTTTTGTCCCGGGAAATTCGTCCCGGATCGCTTCTTTTTCTTGTCTTCTCTACATTTATTGCAAGGCAATGAAGTAATTTTTAACATGTTAAATGAAAGAGAAAAAGAAGAATAAGAAAAGACAATGAGTGTGACTACCCATACTCATGCAGCATTTCGGGAAACGTATTTCTGCTCCGACAAAGGGGAAAAGAGAGTATAACATTGAAAAAAAGTAGCTTGCTCATTTATTTAATGTCATCAGCATATTAAAAAAAACATCGTATACTAAGTATACTATCACATTCGTGTATCATTCAATGAGACGATCCCTATATTGTCATGGTCAATATAAATGGAGTCGAGCAATTTGTCCATTTATTTTTCGTCCGTCGATCGCGTTTAAAGCAGAGATTGTAAAAGATATAACAAAAATATCAATTATATACCGGTATATTTTTCGGTTATATACACATATACACGGTTATATATATGTATGTATATATATATATGTGTATGTTACATATTGTATCTTTTGTTATGTCATTTTATATAATGAAAACTAATCTCAATATAAATATTCCATATCGGTACATAATGGTATGGAGATAATGTTTCGATAATACCAGTATTATAATACCGATATAATTCGATACTGTCAGATCTCTCAGACTGTAATAGATTCTTGATATATAAAAAAAAAACTAGACAATTATAACTTGAATAAATTCGGAACATTCTCATTATCCAATATACTATAATTAAATAATCCGGTATAATCACACGTTCCTAATTGTAGTTTTATCAAAATAAAGATACCCGGTACACACCACAGTCGTCGGTGAAATTATTTTCGGTATTCGGTCCCCGGTTTGAAATAATCTTGTATTGTGTATGCTCCCCCTCCCCCTCTCTCTCTTTCCATCGTCACGCGCTCTCGGTTCATATACATTTGTACGGCGTCTTATCGAGACGACACTGCCTCGCGTTCTGCATTCGAGTGGAAAAGAAAACAAGGACCGCCAAGAATTCGCACCTAATCCAGAGACACTTAACTTTGCGCTTTCAAGAAAAGAACAAAGCGATTCGAATTGTCGGAACGAATCTCGCGTGGAACTGAAAAAAAAAGAGGATGATCATTTGCCTTTTTAAAGCGATTGCCACAAGAAATTCGCGGTAGCCAACTCTCGAAAGTATCTTTTTCTCTTTTCCATTCTTTCTCTCTTTCATTCAAGAATACTTGATTTGGTGTCTCAAAAATATCTTTTGACCTATATAGCAGACGACGCGGCATCCTAACGCGGTGCAGTGCCCTCTCCTGACGGCACGGAATAAAAGGGGAAAAAAAGATCGTCCTTAGTGCGATAAGCCTACGAGCCTCCAAGAGAGATACGTATGGATAGTTTCCTTCATAAAGGAAAGAAAGATCTAGCCGTTGCAAGCGTGAGTAACAACCCGAGGAGAATGCGTGCCTGTACAATGTATTTGTGTAATGTATAATGTGTTAAAGAAAAACAAACAAAATGAAAGAAGCAGATTTACATGTTAAAGTCTGATTATTGTTGTTTCTCACCAACGAGGTCCAAGTCATCTCCGCACTGCCCCGTGCCGCTTCCGCGTTTTTTCTTTTTCTTGCTCTTTCCGCCGCCACCGCCGCCGCCACTGTTGTTGTTGGCCGAGGCGGCGTTCATCGCCGCTTCCTTCGCCGCGGCGCATTTTGCCGATACCTGCCGCGCGTCCTCCATATTCCCCGTTATCTCGGGTCTCACCTTCGTCAGGGTTACGCTGGTACCCTTGAGATTGATGCCGTTCTCCGGTATCGGTTGGCCATTCGTCATCTGGCTGATCTGGATGTTGGCGAGCTCGGACAAGGACGACGCGCAATCCGGCTGCGCGCTCAATCGGCTGCGCAATTCCGCCAGGCTCGACGATATGACGCCGTTCGCGTGTTTCACGCTCAGCTGACCGCAATCGGTCGTCGTCGTTCTGCCCGCCGACGATAGATCGCCCTTGACTATGTAATCCGGCTTAGGTGGTGACGTCAAGCCCGCATTGATCGCCTGCTGCAAAGCCGGACTTCGGATCGTCACCATGCCGTTCTCCGAAACTTTAATGATCGCAGCCTGTTGCGTCGGCGGCACCTTCATCGGTCCGAACGACGGGTTCCTGATGGTCACCATGTTCGTCCCGGGGTTGTGCAGTATCCTCGCCGGCTCGTCTATCGCGTGGTCGCTCACGAACGTGTCGCTATTTTGCACCGGCGACGGGGCTGCCGTGTTGCCCGAATTGGCTGAATTCTTATTTTTCTTCTTCTTCTTTTTACCGGTAGTCGTATTTTGAGGCTGAGAATCTATATAAGGAAAAACGAAAAATTACTCGTTTGAATCACTAATAAGAATTATACAAACAGAAACTGAAAGACAAACATTCTCTATTTAGAAATTTATGATTTTTGAAGGCAACTATAAGTCCCCCCCCCCCCCAGTGATTGTTAATAAATTTAATTGTTTGAAGAATTTTATCAACTCTTCACGTACTCGTTTGTTTCTATTGCACAAATATCGTGCTAGATAAAATAGCTTTCAGATTAAAAAGAGTAAATACGATACAAAAATCTGTTCTTATTTATCACAATTGTTTCTGTTTTCAGACTCATTTCCTAAACAGATAAATATGTTTACTTTTCTGGAAAATTTCAATATATTTAGATATCGCAAATTCGAATAAAGACTACTAAATTCTTATCCACAACGAAATTTTATCTCAGTTTATCTATACCAATATCAATTTACCTTTCTCATTGGCTTTTGGCAGTAGATCTTGCTTGAGCTTGCCCGTGTCCACCACTATGACATTTCCACCTGCCTGCGGACTCGCGTAGCTCGACTGAACGCCGCTCATCGGCGCGGCGATGATAGTAGTTTGCTTGGGCGGATTCACTGGTTTCGGCAAAGGAGCCGTTTTGATTGGAAGCGGTTTCGGTGGTGCGTCAACCTTCGTGATCGTGATGCCCGGAGGTAACTTGAGATTTTCGATGTTGATCTTGGAGTTCGGCCCGATATCCTTAAACTGGCTACTAAGCGACGGCGAACCAACTCGTTCGGAACACGTATTTTGGACCTCCGTGGGCGCACGTTGCTTACTTACGGTAGTTTGATTCGTTTTATTTACATTAGTACTCTTTTGAGAATCGCTCTTACTCGATACGCTCTTATTATTCGCGTTATTATTACTTTTATTGCTTTTACTGGTGTTCGATTGTGGATTTTTATCTTGTTGCTGCTGTTGCTGCTTCTTTGCTTTCTTACTAATCGCGGATTCGCTTATAATCTGGTTCTGCTGCTGCTGCTGCTGCTGCTGCTGCTGCTTCTGCGACACCGGCGTCTGAGGAGGAGTACTCGCTTTATTCTGCTTCTTGTTAGTCGCGTTTTGTTGATTCTTACCCTTGTTCACTGTATTTTGCTGTTGCAACACGTTCTCCTTGTTCTCTGTATTTCTTTTATCTTTCTTCGATTTAGAACTTTTGACCTCGTTGACGCTCTGCTGTTGGACTTTCCTCTCGTCCATCTGTTTACCACTTTTCGACTTGTCGTTATTCGCTTGTTGCTTCAAATTCTTACCGTCGTTGGCTTTAGTTTGAGTCTGTTGCTTCGAATTATTCGATTGCTGTAACTTATTTCCCTGTTGCAAGGGATTACTATTGTTAATCGCTTTGACCTTTTTCTTTTTTCTACTGTTACTTTGGTTTTGTTCTTGCTCCGACTTGTGAGAAGGTTCTTTAGTCTGTCCATTCACCAACGTAAATAAAACCTTATCCTCGGCCGGGGTTTGGCCTTTCAGCGTGATCGTGACTGTAGGTTCAGCACTGCTCGAATTTATTTCTCTCCTAATAGTAACTATTTGCGGTTGAGATTCTGTATGTGCTGCACTTTCGGTCTCCCTTGCCTTCGTCTCTTCCAATTTCTGCATTTCCTTCTTTAATTTTTTCCTCTCCTTCTTCGTCAACTTCTTATCGAGTAAATCGACGTTGGCTAACTTACTTGCATTATTACTCGAACTGTTTTTCGTACACGTAATATTATTAATACTTGCTGGTGGCTTACCGCCTTTATTGCTATCAACTTTATCATTTTTCGCGTTATTCTTATTCCCTTGGCTAGAATTCGTATTCCGCACTTCACACTTTTCCGTGCTATTAATACTCTTATTTTTTGCGTTTGAATTCGCAGTCTTCGTCTTGTTACTCAAATTAGTAATACTATTACTGCCGCAGTTATTACTATTATTGCTACAAACTTCTTGCTTATCTTTCTTTCTATTGTTCAACTGTTTTATCGTGGGTACAGATACCGGTGGCGACGTTGGTAAAATGGAAACTTCCGGTAAATTACATTGAGGCAATAATCTTTGAGGTATGGGCTTTTGAGGGTCGACAACAGTGATCGTCACCTCTGGTGTCTTTTTTTGTAATTCTATTAACTTTTGTCTCTCTGCTTCTTGTCTGTCCTTTTTTAATTTTTCTTCAAGCTGTCAAAAGAATCAACATATAATTATAAAGCAATCTAAAATTGAATACGAAACATAGCGTAGCATAATTTGTACTTGAACAAACCTTTCGTTGTTTCTGCCTCGCTTTCTTTTCGGCCTTCTTGTTGTCTTTCTTCCCGCTTTGATTACCTTCGATGAACTCTAACAATTCCTCCAAATCTCGCTGATCTCGTTGATCGTATTGGACCGTGGACATCGTCGAAATTGGAGTATTCGATCTAAGAATCGAATTTGTCGCGGTTTTGGCTTCGGAGTTGGCGTTAGGAATCGACGATTCCGACGGACTTTTCTGCGGGCTGCAACCAGCTGCGACGGTCTTGCACTTTTTCGCCTTTTTCTTCGTCAGAAGTTGTCGCAATCGTTCCCGCATTTCCTTATAGTTTCGACTCACCGGCGCGACCGACGGCTAAAAATAACGCGCTCATTAATCGCCACTTCTTCGAGTCGAATAAACGCGATTTTTTAAAAGATCCAACTCTCACCATCCCGTGACCAAAGACCTCACAGTAGCAACAGTCACAGTGTCTCACATTGGCATCTCTCTGCGCGGAGCTACTAGTGGAGCACGAGTCCCCTTGACTGCTCCCTGAATCCGAACAGTCTCCATCTCCTGAACTCACTGAAACAAATACAAGATTAAAATGTAAGCATACATAATAAATAAATCTTTAGAGGATATACACAATATATGTTTACTAACAATCGTTACACGACATTCTCTTGATATGTTCGACGTTGGCTTGCTTGTGGCACGCATGCGGTGTATGATTAAGTGGACGAAGTCTGGGGTGAGAGCATGGACCTGTGCTTTTCGTCAGATCCGGCAGCGGTCCGTGGGCGTGCGAATGAGTGTTACCTATGGTTGCGTGAAGAAAAGATGTACACGAACGTGCGCACATAATAAATGTGACAGAGACGCAGGAAAAGAGATTAAGATCGAGACGTAACGACTATGCGACGTAGGAACGACTCGCTACTTACACCTACCCTGATGCATGCTGTGATTGTGAGTTTGCGTTGTAGAATGCCTCGTTTGGGTTTGGGTTTGGGCAGATTGCGTGGAACCAGTCTTTACAGCAGGCTTTTGGCTCGGCTCTGGATTAGCCTTTGTAACGGAAGTCGGTGACGTCGCTTTGGGACGACCATTCGGTACGACCGTTTCAGGTATGGCTGTTTTTCGATACATTATATCATTCGATTGACATAATTTTAATTGGTTGGCTAAGTAAAAATCCGACAAAAATCTGTTAAATCGCTTACATTTAGGCAAGCAAGGGCATATGTCCCACTTGCGTTTCGAATTCAACAGACAAGGACAGGGCGGACTTTCTAGAATTTCCTTTTTCCTTTCCGCTATTTCTTGCGCGTGTTGATAAACACACAAACAAGGTTCCGACTCGGGTGTTTTCGAGGCGGTATATTTGTGCAAAGTATCACAAGCCGTACCTGGCTCTTTCTTCTTTTTGTCCTCGTCATTCAAATTATCTAGTTTCTTCTTAACTTGCGTCGCTGTACAACTTTCAGGTATTTCTAAAAACACGTTTATCTATTTTTTATCTTTCTGAGACACCTCTTTTCATTATTAATTTATATTTGCTTACCTGGAAACCCATTACTAAGGGATGGAAAAGAATTTATCTCGTCCTTTTCGACATTTTTGTCTTTATGTGTATCCTACAAAAAAATGTATTGTCATCTGTCAGTGTAAATTATTTTCAAGAGAAGTTTTATACAAAGTAAAATCATAATAAAAAATTATACACATTATAATAATTATTTTTATTTGGTCTAAAAATTTGTATTCTCAGACTGATGTTAGATAATATATTTTAACTTAGTTTTACATTAATAAATTGGAAAAAGAATATGAGTTAAAAAAATATGGAAAAATAAACAACGGTCATTAATAAATTAATAAGACTTGAAATATAATACTTTACCGTATGGTCTATTCCAGTTTCATTGCATGTATAACATTCGCATCCTTTTCCATTCTCAAGCCCATTCTCCGTATCGCCAGAGATGTCACTGTGAGTCCTAAAACAAGTCAGAACATTTAACATGTTACAAAAGTTAATAAAACTCGAAATATACAATTCATGTATTCGTATGACGTACCTCACCGATCTGATAGCGTATTGCGCCAACTGACACGTTGCACGTGTATAATCATAACAGTTAGAATCACCTTGTCCAGCGGCATCCACCTCGGTTGCGGTCAATGCTCCGGCTATGTCCGCTAACTTTTGATGCTGAGCTTTATTCCAATCATCTAACAATATTTGAACTATTTCTATGCTCGATGGCATAGCTATGGAATCCGAACTAAAGTCCAATACGGGACTTAGAGGTGGACTGTCGCTTCCAGATGTATGTGCGATGAGCGACGAAAACTGTCCGTGGATCTCTTGCATTTCACTAATAATATTGGTCGCAATAGATTAAAGAAAATCATAAAAAAGTTTTTTTCAGAATTTTGGGTACACGTGCATATCTTACTTTCCGATATCAGATGTTTTGTTTAACATGCTGCGCTCCATAAATTTACGTGTTGCCGTGAACAATTCCCAAGCTTCTCTAATTTGTCTAAGTCTCGTCATACGAACGGCTTGTTCTGCACTAAAACCACACTTTGCTTGTACAACCCTATTTTTTTATCTTCCGCCATTTAACTCCGCCGAGTTGTTCAAAATAATAACGTAAACAGCATAATATCCTTCAACTTACTTATATTTATCCATCCATGGCTCTGTTTCAGGCCACAAATTACCGATTCTCGTCATCTCATCGTCGAAAGATAAATATCTATGAACAAGAGCTTGATATTTGGAACCTTTCAACGGCAGAAGTTTCCTCAGCTGCAAATTCATGCGCGCACGTTTAGATTTACCAAGTCGCAAACGCCACTGGACATTTCTTCAGAAAATATAGCATTTTACCTGGCCAATAAATGTAGGTAAATTGTTTTGCACTAAAGCGTCATTATATACATAAATCTGATATAACTTTTTGATGAAGCAGTCCCACGTCAAATTAAAGTTGAGGCACTTCTTTAACGGTTTTACTAATTCAGAAATTAAAAGTGCTGTCGATACGAGAGCGTCGTAGTCATTCAAGAGACCTATATCGTGAAAAATCCAAATAAATCTTATATCATAATATATATTTTGAAATTGTTTTTGCTTACGAAACGTAGTACTAACCAGTGAGAAAAATTTCAGCTAAATTCACGCTACGATCGTGTAGAAGAGCGAATAAACGGATTTTTACTTCTATCACAAACTCTTGCGCCTGGCTCACTAATCTCATGAAAAGTTGATGGGAATCTCTTTTGCATAATCTGGAACCAAGAGACACTGTTACGCGACGGTCCGGTTCAACAATAATGGCGCAGAGAATTTCAATACGTAGAAGTTTCTTACTGGATAACAGTGTTGTGCATATCCGTGGTGTATCTGTCACGAGATTGCAGCGACTCAAATATATGAGCCGTTTCTAGAGCGACGTTAAAGTCGGTACGTATGTACTGCCGCAATTCTGTCCACAGATTTTGGAAGTTCATAGCCTTCTGCAGCTCCTCTCTAAACATATCTCTGCACATACAAGCAAGACACGTTCAATTAATACCCACATTCTCGCATGACACTCTAATTGTTGTCTTTACCGTTTAGCTTTGTAGTCAGCTGTATTATCACAGGAACATGACTCCTTTCCGAGACGTGACTGACCGTCCATAGCTGCCGCAGAGGAGTACAGTTTGGCAAGCGCGTCGGTGCTTACTAGAGACGACTTGCGTCGATCTTCATCGGCCGCTCTTGCGCCTCTAATAAATGCGTCGATCACGCGCTGATCAGTCGTCCCACACTACGAATAAGTATTCAGTAAACTTATTTACGCAATGGAATTTGCGCAAGTGAAGTAGTTATGCAAGAGCTGACCGTTTAATTTGTGAAATTAATCTAGATCTTTGTTCTGTGGTGTAAATATTGAAAAATTGTTATTAATTCTTAGTCTGAAGATTACTAAATAGATTGGGCCTATGCATATCTGTTCATATCACAGAAGTGTGTACCAAGTATATATTATCATAATTGTTTTGAAAAGACTGTAACAATAATGTGATATATTTCTGTTATATAAACAAGACAATTTTCTTTGTTATTAACAAGTTTCATTTAGTCAGCTGTCGCTTCATTTAAGTCTCTGCGAAACAGTAATAACATGGTTCAGTCCGCTAGGACTTCAGAATGGGTGCGTTCTGCCGATACTCCGCTAGCCTAGCAATCGTAAGCAGTCGCTCGATTTCGCTCGTTTCCTCTCCTTTGACCCAATGGATTAAAAGAAGAGGAAACGAGCGACTGCTCACGATTGCTAGGCTAGCGGAGTATCAGCAGAACGCAGCCAACAACTGGCACAAGAAAAACTGCTGCGATATAACTTAGAGAAACATCTATGCATCGGTCTACTCCATAGAGATATCTCTGACAACAATTTTCCAGGCTGACAATACTATACCCACATACCGTGCGTATATGATATTAAAATTATAACGTTAATAAACAATGTATTAAATTCTCGAACAGAGAAAAGTGTCGCAACCGACTGTGTATGTGAGCAAACTTTTTACTCCAAGAAGGTTAACAGTGGAATCTTTCACAAAGATTTCGGCGAGCGACGGTCTCTAAATTATACAAGAATTATGTTATTGAAATGAAATTTGTTCGACCACACATCGCGTTCGGTTTTCGCACAAAAAAAAAACCGCGCAGAAAACGAGAGGACGACGTACCCCGGTGGGATCGTAGTCCGCGACCGCGGGGAACACGCGGGCGTCCCCGCTCTCGTGGTCGCTCGGCGCGTCCGTGCCCCGGCGCGGCGTCGTCGTCCACGCGGACTCGTTGCTACCGCCGACGGCGACGGCAGCGTCGTTGCAGCGTCGCTTGATCGCCGTCGCGGTTGGACCGCCGTCGTCGCCCATCGCTCCGACCGTGCCGCTTTCCCCAGTGACGATGGTGGTGGTGGTGGTGGCGGTGCTCTTCTCGCGTCGACCGTCCTCGCCGTCGCTACCGCTCATGACAGCGGCCGCTACGCCCGGTCTCTCGGATGGCACGCGCGCGTCACGAAGTGTCACGACGCACCGTGCACCAAGGCAACGGCCACGGAATCGATGCGCAACCCGTATCACGGAACCTTCAACCCGGAACCGCGTAAACACCGCAGCTCGCACATTCGGTCGACATCGACACTCGCAACACCCTCTCTCAATATGGCGTCTCCTGCCCGCGCAACCGCACCGCGCATCGACCACGGCTCGATACGGTGGCGCGACGTCGCGGCGAGAATTCAAAAGCGCTATCGTCCGCCTCGCTGTCATTGTCGATCGGTAAAGCAGGTCGCCCGCGTTCCGCGCGCTTCATTGCTCTGCACTTATTCCGTCTCAAAATTCGTAATCACTTTTTAGCTTGATGATATATATGTATATTTATTTATCATCTACAATGACAATATATCACATCGTATTTATAATATTATTTAACATTTGCTGGTTAAAATGGACAAAAATTTGCGAAGCGGAGCATTCGTCCAAAATGAATGCAACGCGTCGTGGTGGGCTCGCCTTCTTCTCTATTTTTTCCTTCTTCTTTCCTTCTTGCCGTTGCGGAAGAAGAGAGCTATTTCCCACGCTGGGAATCGCTGATGACGAATGATCGCGTTTTAGCGCGACGCGCGCGAATGATCGCAATAATAAGCCGGCGTTATCAGGCATCGTTGTGTACATACAGTAATAGTAATGAGTACAAAGTCTTCGAAATTTGATTTGGAAAAATGTGAAAAAACTATACATTCCATGTACATTCAAGAACATGATTCTATCACTGAGAATCTTATCACAATTCGCGATTAATAATCACATATGGATGAATTCATAATTAGCAATTTCATAATCGCATTCATATGTGATTGTGAACAATCATTCACAATGCGAAGAATCAGCTAAAAGCTAAATGATCAGGAACCACGTGTTCAGAAACATTTCTCAATTGTATATTGCGCATCGTATTTTCAATTATACAAAATATGTGCACGTTTTATACACTTCTTTTTTTTTTTTACAAATTCACCATTTGCTGAAAAATCAGAATCAAGTTTGCGAAGCGATTGCATTGTGCTACGCTGGCAACATTACGCGTATAAAATTCTAAACTCTTGCTAATCACCGAGCAAAACAATATCATATCGATCATTAACAATACATTGGAATCTATTTTTATTACATTTATATCTATCTCTTAATATCAAATTAGCTAGTATAAAAAAAAAAAAACCGTAAAAGAATACAATATCAATACTGATTTAGTTAGGTCGCGCAACAGTACCTTTCCCCAGGTTTTTTGCTTAGAACAATCGCTTCTTCTATCTTCTGCAAATTTTCCGGATTAGACGCGAAATCCTGTACGATTTCGTTGAACAACTCGACTGTAAAGGACAGATACAATATAAATACGTTTGCAAATGAAATAGGCGAAACGAGACATTTGCCAGATATAAATGTAATGATTCCTTTACCTATGTTCTCTCCCGTTTTACTAGACGTTACGAAAAGCTTCGTCTGCGTGCCGCTCGCGTACCTCTCCACGACATTCTGCATGTCCGGATCGTCCGACGCGAAACCTTCGTCGCACAGATCCTTCTTGGTGGCGCACAGGTACACCTTACAATTCTCCTCGATGCTCCTGAGTTCTCTGACCCAGTGCTTCGCCCTCTGGAATGTACTCGACTTTGTGATATCGTAACACACTATGGCAGCTTTGGCGCCACGATAATACGTCCTGGTCATTGCGTCATACCTGGTAATTAAATAATAACGGCACAGAGTTATCGATGAACTTATGTATTTTTCCAGCTATGTAGATAACTATGTATTTTATTATTTGAAATTTCAAGGTGGGAACACGACATAGCAAACTGAATATACTTACTTCTCACTGCCCGCAGTGTCCCATATTCCCAAAACAAGCGTCACATCGTTCACTTGCACTCGCTTCGCCGCAAATACAGTGCCTATTGTCTGCGGCATAATTTCAACTGCATTCATTAATTGGTACATGACGCCCTCCCTTCCGTTCAGACGATTCTCAGTGCAAACTTTAACAACGTTACTTTTATAAATTTTCTTTCCACAATGTTGCGGACTAAGAGAAACAAGATTGTACCACGTTAGTGCTCGCAAATTGACTGCGGGCCCGTTCTTTTTAGCTTTTAACCGTATATGTGCCTCTCTCTCTCGCAAAATACGTCTCTGCAACTTTTCTCTTTCTCCTCTTTTTTGTTCCAAATCCACGACTGTGTCAGCGGCGTTAATTGCAAATCGCTTTTAAAAAATTGATCATACAATTCTCCTTCCGAAAGTCTTTTATCTGTGTGAATTAGAACTTGAAACAAAATATTATAACTTTAAATCATGATACTCTTCGTCTTCCGCGTATCGATGTGTTCAAAACAGCGCTGATAAAATCGTAACTGACGACGCCCACAGATATATTATCACTGTCCGCGTATTTAATTTGAGATATACAAAATTCAAGCCGCAGAGTTCAGCTGAAAGGAACGGTCCCGTTGTCGGGGAAGGGTCTAAGAATTCTAAGGAAATAACTACGACTTTTCTCTTTCCTTTGTCTCTCAACAAATTTCTTTTGTTGAATCGTCTCTTCCATGTAGCGTGTATCAGGAGTATTAAACGCTGTCAGGCGTGGCCCTTTAATTTTTACGCGCAATTCAAATTGAAGTATTGTCATTCGGGTCGGTCTATTTAATCGCACAAGTACGCGAAAAGGTGCCTTCTTTTTGAACATCAAGGAGAAAAGTCGATCGCCGGACAGCGTGAACGCTCCCCGTACACACGCGCGTTATAACCGAACGAAGTACTTACATTCTGATAGGGCCTTTCGCCGTTAAACGCGTCGTGCACATATCGTTCCATAAGACTCGTTTTTCCCACCATCGCGTTACCGAGTAACACGACCTTCAAATCCACGCGACTCATTCTTGAATCGGGGAAACTCTCTGCCTCCTCGGAACAGGGAGCCTCCGTTTCAGCGTATCATGGGTGAGGTTATGGCATAGGACCTCCAATCCACCGTCCACGCTGACGTTCCGAAACGCACTGAGCGACTGAGCGATGAATGGCGATGATGCCGGCGTGCCGCTCTTTGTAATTTGTACATTGTACCTGATGACTTCAAATTATAAGTTCAAAGTCTTCAAACACGAGATTTGCTTCTCATGCATAAAAAAATAAATATGCCTCTCTTAGAAACATTTTGTAAGAATTATGTATTATGTGTAAAATATGTGCGACCGATTTATTTTACGTGGCATATCAAATAATAAAAGAATATAAGACATGTAAATAATATTGTTATATTCTTATAACTTATTAAGTTATATTAGGTGCTTTCCATTTACATCAAAACTCAGATAATTCTCACTTGTGACGTCGTTCTATCCTTTTTGGGAATTAATGAATAATAAAGACAGAATGAGACATCACAAGTGAGAATTATATATCTGAGTTTTGATGTAAATGGAAAGCAACTATTAAGGAGTTCCATTTTAAATATCGCACTTAAGTATACCGAGAAGAAAACACGTTTGAAAAATTTTCATATAAAAGTTGAGGAAGACCATAAGATAACGGTTTCAATTTGACTCGAAATTCTTTCGCGCCAACGCTGTGTCGAGATAAACTTCAATTTTCAAATGGCGTTATACATATTTTTTAACATACAATGTGTATATATATATATATATATAGGATTGAGTATATCATACTTTCACAGATATATTCTATGATATATATTTTTTCTTTACTTTACACAAGAGGAATGCTCGTTCAAGCAAGAACATTCTATCGTCTTTCTCGAGCTACATTCTCTATCACGGTAACGAAACTAGAGGTTCATAAATACTTAGTTAACAGACATACAAGAGAGATTTGCTTCTCGCAAATCGACACGTTAAACAATTTTTCAGATTTATCGTCGTTCATTTGGCCTTTCCTTGCGCGGCAACCGCGGCCATCGCGGCCTTAACAGTCTCCTCATCGCCCAGGAACTTCATAGAAACGACCGGCTTGAAGTTCTCGTCCAACTCGTACACGAACGGGATACCGGTCGGCAAGTTCAGCCCCATAATTTGATCGTTGGTCATTTCTACAAAAGAGGAATATTCCGTAGATTATCATAAATCATATAACAATGTAAATAGATTGATAGTGCACAGAGCGCCTTACGATCCAGATGTTTCACTATGCCGCGCAAGCTGTTTCCGTGGGCGGCTATAATGATCCTCTTGCCCTCCTTCAACTGCGGGATAATCGTCTCGTTCCAGTAAGGTAACGTTCTCTCGATGGTCAACTTGAGGGACTCGAACTTCGGGAATTCCTCGGGCTTCGGGCCATCGGCGTAACGCGGATCCTTCACTATCGTGTCGTGATATTTATGATCGGCCTCCATCGGCGGTGGCGGCACGTCGAACGATCTCCGCCAGATCTGCACCTGTTCCTCTCCGTACTTGGCGGCCGTTTCCGCTTTGTTCATGCCGGTAAGACCGCCGTAGTGTCGCTCGTTCAAACGCCACGTCTTTTGAACCGGCAAATCCTCCTGGCCGATCTCCTTCAGGATCGACTTGAGGGTCTCCTGCGCTCTTGTGAGTACCGACGTGTGAGCCACGTCGAACGTGTAGCCCGCATCCTTGAGAGCCTTCCCCGCGGACACTGCCTCACTCTTGCCTGCAAGAAGATTGCCGATATATCAAGCTATATATGCCGATTGCGTCAAACTGGATTTAACATTATGCTTTAGTTAACATTATGCGGTAGTCTATCACACGGTTCTTCAAGCATTTGAATCAGTATGCACAGTTGGCAAACTACATTCTTGAGATCTCTGTAAATTTGTCCAACTAATAAAAATTCTTTCATTTATGTTAGACCTGTCGATTAGATAAAATTGACACGATATACTTGACCCTTGCTTATTTGCAAGAAATAACTTGAATCATGAAGGAGAGTTTATCCAAACTTTAATCATTTGATAATCAAATGTTAAGCTTTTAAAGTTCAACAATTAAATGTTAAAATATTTGCAATACATGATTGATGAATGTTAGACCCGTCGATTAGATAAAATTGACACGATACTTGACCCTCGCTTATTTGCGAGAAATAACTCGAATCATAAAGGTCTTTAAACCAAACTTTAATCGTTTGATTATCAAATGTTCAAGTTTTTAAAGTTCAACAATTAAATGTTAAACTTTTAAATGTTAAAATATTTACAATACATGATTGATGAATGAATGATTGGTTTTTATCACGCGTGTCATATCAGACTTCATTTTTAACGTGATTTAAGAAGATGTACGGCCGCGATACGTCAACAATGTCATTCAGAAAAGGGACGCGCGGTCGCGCGACCTTTCGCCCTTGAAACCACCGGTGAACTTGGCGGACAGGTTTACGCACCCTTGTCCGACAGATTGGCGTCGTACCACCCGCAGAAGAGGTTCAACTTATTCCACTCGCTCTCGCCGTGGCGAACCATAACGATCCTGTATTTCGACATGTTTTTTCTCCGCGAGACCGCAAAGCCGGGAGACGATTCACGAGCAAAGCGCACGGTGCTCGATCCGATATTATGGCTCGATACTTTCGCTCAGCTGTTCAGTTCGAGTCCCGTCTCTCTCTCTCCACCACCCTTGAATTCACCTTCAACGAACACCGGAGCCCGGAGCACGTCTTGCGAAAATGCGAAGAGAGGAGAGAGAGAACTGGCGGTCTGTTCTATTTATCTGAACTTTCTGCACAGTTCATCTTTTCTCTTTTTCTCTCCAACGTAAAAAGAAAAAGAGGAAAGATAAACCGTGCAGGAAGTTCAGCTAAAACGAACACTGGTCGATAAAAAAAGAGGCCTGCTGCTCTTTTTAACTGAACTTCTTGCACTTTTCATCTTTTCTCTTTTTCTCGCCGATGTGAAAAGAAAAAGAGAGAAGCTATAAAACCGTGCAAGAAGTTGAGCTGAAAAGAACAGGGAACAGGCCTACAAGATTGGCCACACATGCGCTCTATGCTCTATCTCTCTCATTTTGACAGAGGGCTATCGATGAGTCTAATCTGTAATCGTTATCAAATCGTATAACTATACGATGGTGGGACGAGCTTGAAGTATTACATTTACAATAAGGTCCGCTGCAATTAGCAATCACGTCCTGTATTCGTGTGATTATTTTTAGCCTCCGATCGTTAATAAATTGAAAGGGGCTAACCTATCTTTTTTGACGTTTGTATATCGAATAAAAGGGATAAAGTGCGGATTCAAGATACGGAGGCTGTATAACTTGAAGGAAGATCGAAAACGCATACCGCGTAAGTCCTTTTCACTCGAGGAAGCAGAGAACAGAACGTTTATATCGAGCGTTCCGAGTTGTCGAAAAGGAGAGTGCAGATTTTTCAAGCTGCCGATGATGCAACGGCGTTAATTTCTGCTTCAGCGCAATCGACACAATAAAATCTAAAGGGTATTTTTTCCCCTTAATAAGTATTATTATTATTAATCATTATTATAATATTATTATTATTATAAAAAAATTATTTATTCAGAAACAGTGGTTTTCTCTCAGCTTCTGCTCCCGACCTTCAAGATCGAGCAAGGATCATGCGTGGCGAGATGCGACAGTAGAGATCGCGCAGGAGAATGCTCACAATCGCGGACAGATCCGCGAGACTGCAAAGCATAGTTGCTGTACACGCCTCATTCGCAAAAAGCTGACCATTAATTATACTCGCTTGCCTCGCTCAACGTGCGTCGGAATCATGGAGATAATGAACGCCGAGGATATGGGCGAGCCGCGCGCTTCGCTCTCTACAAAGCGCCGCGACAGTCCCCCGTTGATCTCGTGCAATTGGCAGATCAGCAATAATAAGCAATTCATTGATGCCGTCACTACTGCGCCGCTGCGATACGCGCCTGAAAGGTGAGCGAATCGATTGACAATCGGTCTTTAAGGCACCAAAATGATATTTGAATAATGTAAACGTTTGCACAGAATAAACTGCGAAGATGTAGCCTCTGTGGATACTTGTATCGCTCTACAGCCAATGGATTCCGGTACGGAGTCCAACGCAGAACCGTGCACGCTGAATATTGAAGTATCGAACTGTCAGAGGATAGCGCGCATCGCCGTTGTTTCCGAAGGTAACGTCCTGGAGATCTTCAAACAATTTGGAGAATACGAGACAACGATACTCGCAGAGTTCATAGACGAGTACGAGGGAAGTATAGTTTTCCTCGGCGAAACGACGATAAACCCTCCTACTACAGAAGTCAGTATTAAGGTAAGATGACTGTCATTTATTAATGTTTATATTGACACTTTGCCTTTATATTTGATGTAATAACGTTTGCTTTTTTGGTTTCCAGTTTATTAGAACAAAAAATAAAGGCCCTCCTATGTGGGTATATGGTATAAGACTGTTTTTGACGGAATCTATGAGAGAGGCAAAACCTAGTGCCTTCGATTACGATGTTATTCGGACTTTTCTCAGTAACGCTAGCAATGGCAAGACGAGTCAGGGATCTGAAATAGCGAGGAAAGTATTTGGATTTTACGATAGAGAAGAAATTACGAGAAATTACGGAGAGAAGCTTTTGGAAACACATGCCTCGGGTTCGAGGTACGACGAGCGTATCAACGAAAATGGAAGGAGCAATAATGACAAAGAATTTCCAAATTGCGGAGATAATTATGAACAGTCAAGTGTCAAGTGTAAAAATAGAGCTGTGAGAAGAGATAGTGAGACAGAACACTTGAACTGTGAAGAGAATTATAAAAGCTCGGGCGCAGATATCAAAACCTGCATTGATAATAACACAGAATCTATGAAGAAGACAAAATCTGGTATCTTCAATTATAAAGATTTTATCCAGACATTTCTGAGTAATGCCGGTAACGGCAAAACGAGTCGAGAAACTGACACGACAAGGATGTTTGGGCTTCATGATAAATTCGATAATAATGAAATCGTGAATGAGCAGTTTTATCAGAAAATTTTGGGAACTCTTACTTCGGACTCGGATCTTTTCACATGTAAAAATAAAATCGCAAAAGGAGATAATGAAAGAGATCGTCGAAGCTGCGACGAAGAATGTACAAACCATGAAGATGATAAAAAATCCGATACAGATATCAAAATCTATATCGACAATAAATTCCACGATATGGAAAAGAGACTGATGGAAAAAATAGACGAAATGGAAGCCAGATATATCGATAATAAATTCCACGATATGGAAAAGAGACTGATGGAAAAAACAGACGAAATGGAAGCCAGAGTGAATCAGAAATTGGATGCCATTTTGGAAAGACTTACACGGTTGAATTTACAGTGAATTTATTCCTTAATTATTAATTTAGTAAGTTATTTTTTTATATTTAATATAATAGAAGATTTAAGTTATCAAATATTAGTTAAATTTTTTAATGTATATAATGAATTGTTTTGTCACGGATATATCTTTTTGTTTTTATTAGCTAATTAAAAACTCCGACTCAACAAAATATAGTTTCTTTTTGTTATTTTTATGCAATCTTTTTTTTATTATATTAGAATTTGTATTCATGTATATTATATACGACTGTTTGCAAATTTTGTATCAAAAGCACATATAAAACATTGCACATTTTTGAATTTATATTTAAATACTCTTAACTCACACATGTATTTAATGTGTCCTAAATTAGTAATAGAAATCTGCAAACGTCTCAAGAGAGACATTTAGTATACATATATTAATGTTATTTTATTTATACAAAAGTATTTGTGCAAACTAAGCTTTCTAAAATGCGATTATAAAATTACGTACACGAGAACAGAAATATATCACTCCATGTTAATCATATTATGATTGTTCTCATATTTATAAATATATTATAAAATTGTTTCAAAAGACAGAAGCAATACTTAACAAACAAAATAGGAGGCGTTAAAATAACACGATTGCAATATAAATTAAAGAAAATGATATTGGCAGTATTTTGAATGGAATGACAATATGATTTTTTAGCCTAATTCATCAGCCTTGTCGTTCTCCTGAGGAGGATCCCAAGCGTGAAGTTGTTTTCGCCATAGCCTTACCATACCGTCCCAACCCCTTCTGCTGTATTTTATACATTTTGGTGGCGTTCTTGGATGTTCTTTCGTACGCTTCTCTCTGAAATAAAACAGAGGCTTCAGCTAGATATATACGTAAAAAAACGGAGCATAGAATCTTATTATGGCTGCGGTCCACTTGACGCTACAAATGCTTCGAAGCATTCCTCTTCTCTTTTCTTTCAATGAAGAAAGAAGGAGAAGAAGAACGCTCCAAAGCATTTGTAACGTCAAGTGGACCGCAGCCTATATCGATCTCACGACACTTACTTTGGGACCAGCTGAATATATCTGTCGTAGCCGATAGTATTCTTCCCGTAATCGATCTCTTTTTGTCTACGTGCCAGCACAGCTGGATCCGTCTCGTACTCTATAAGCCTTTTGCCGTTCTCCGACGAATTTGTGGTCGAGCTGGAGTCGCTGGAGTAACGTCTGCTGCGAGAAACCTTGGCGTCCATATCGTGATGATCCATATTGTCCTGCCTCGTTCTCTTGCGCCAAGTATGCGAATCCTTCGGCCTGTTCCTCACGTTATCTCTGTACTCTATGTACTTAATATCGTCCGTACCCTCTTCGCACCCCGTCCGGGTATCGTCACATCGCGCACTCGAGTTCTCATCGTTCTCCTCGGCCCCGTCAACGTCCGCGTCCTCCTTGTCGTCGTACCAGGTACCGCCTTCCGGCTCGCCTTCCTTCTTCGTGCCGCTCTGCTCGGACTCGACGATCTCTCGATTGTTCATGCACAGCACTTCGTCGAACAGATCGTCGTCCTCCACAATTTGCAATTCCACGGACGAGCCGCGCGAGGATGAATCCATGTTCGGTGAAGCGGCGAGACTTCGATCCGGGACGTCCGACTATCTAAAAAAAAACACACACAGAGATAACGTGATACGCGTACGGTTGAATTCCGTCGACTCGAACAATGCGATACTGGCGTATCCGCGCCTCGGCACACGTACAATTCGCAGAATTTATCGCAACAGGTATAACCTACACAATCGCAGTCGGTGTGTTTTGCTTCGAAAGGCGAGACGTCCGTTCGCACCGGTCTCGGTACAACGCGCGCTCATCGGCTAGGCTAGCTCCGAACACCAACGTCACGTACGAGTACGACGAAAGGGATAGCCGCGATTCGAAATCGCCTTCGGAAAGCTTTTCTAATTTTCGTTACTCACTTCACTATATATTTACCGTGCGCGCCTTTTTGACTACGCCGCAGTTGACTTCGCGCCCAATGTTGGGCGACCGGGGAGTAAAATTAAAATCCCTTCAGAATATGGTGCATTATACGCATGCGTATATCATACTGCGTGATTAGAATCTCGACAGATTCGTAAATATATATTAGTTCCTAGGATGCTTTGTGGGATCAATAAATTGTTTTTTTACTTTTCACCACTTATCTTACTATCTAATATATAAAATAATTATATATATTAATATACATTCATATATATTTATAAATTAATATGTTTTTATATAATATATTTTATATCTTACCGCATGCACTTTACACATATTTTTATATGTAATATATATATGTTCTTTACATTATTCTGTACACTGCACACTTATATTTATATAATTTATATAATTTATTTGTATTCGTTGGAATATAAATTTTTTAATAGAATATAAATATTGACATTTCTATGAGAAGTTGGCTGCAAAATATGCAATAAATTGATAGATTTAATTGCTTCTATCCGTGAATCGTTACACTTTTGCATCATCGAAGATTTTCCACCCTCATTTTTATTATTTATTTTTTTTCAACGAGCCTAATGATACTCCTTATTAATAAATATATACATTGATGTTCATTAATCGAGTTTTTGGTAAAATTTCAATCCAATCTTAATCTATAATAATCCGTAGTGCGGTGTGCAGTGCTCAAAAAGACGCCACTTTGTGGTGCCACAGAGAGAACCCTCATAGACATTTAAAACTGCAGGAAGGTATTAAGTGATTAATTACTTATTTTGAGTGTTAAAAGCATCGCACTTAACAACAATGTTGATACTCAAAATAAGTAATCAGCCACTACCCTCCAGGATGAAATTTCTGTAAAGGAAAGCGCTACACACGAAACTCATCGCTCGTCCGAAATGGTCTGAACGGACTCGTGCGGATGGACCACTTTGTGGCGCCACAGATAAGCAGTCTCTTGTACAGTCGCGGTCAACAATGCTTTCCACCTGAAGTAGCTGTTTTCCTGGGGATTTCTATAGTGCACGTTACATGTACTATAGAACGCAGCTAACTGGGCATTATTGACCGCGACTGTACTGCGAAAGGGCCGTTTCTACAAAGTCAGAAGTCGTTTGTTGATGACACCTTGACGCCACAGACTCATGAGGGCGACGTTTGTGACGGCACATATTGCTCCGTGCGTCGTGGGTTCACACGAATCTTAATCTCATATATCTAGTCGTGTTCAGTCAGCTGTTTGTGTGTGTCACCTGTAGAAAAGTGTGCCGGAAGAATGGCACCCTTCGACACTGATAAATTTATCCAGGAAATTGAAGCTCGTCCCGTTGTTTGGAACACCACCTGTCTAAAATTTGGTAATAGACTTCAAAGAGGCAAGGCATGGGAGGAACTTGCTGTAATGTTTATACCAAACTTTGAAAAAATGGACTCTGCAAAAAAAAGCAATACAAGTAAGTCGTTTAATTGTGTTAAAATTTCAATGTTGTTTGAAACGAAAAATGGAAATATATTATTTGTGAGTAATAGCGTTTCTGATTGCAGAGGGATTGTATAGTTACAGACTATCGGCACATTTAAAAGATCAAGCATCAATCAGATACATTAATTGCTCCCAGATCAGTTCAAATTCTCTCTAATCAAAAACGCTATAATATAGAAAGAACATATGTAAAAACTAAGTAATATAAAACAAAGTAAACATACGAACTAATAACTAATATAGAAAATAGTTTGCAACGACAAAAGAACGAAAATATTCATATTTTAAGTAACAGGGATTAAGTATGTTCAACAGAATTTTTAACAATAATTACTTTGCCAAGCTGAGGCTTCTTCTTCACTAGAAAAATAGTCAGCAAATGTTTCTCGAATCTTTATTGCTGTTTATTGAATTTCTGTGACTTTTTCTGTACTATTATCGAGTCCAATAACATTCGGTGTATTATTAAAGTCTAAAATCCGTCTCTTTCTCTCGCAAAATTGTAAAGTAAACTGTTAGCTTTTACAATTGACTCGGCAAAGTTTACTTCGACATCGAGGGGACGACGAAAAATTCACCATTTATTTGTAAGAATACCGAATAAACATTCAATGTAATGCCTAGAGATAAATGATAATTATATTTTTTTTTTTTTGCAGTAGAGTCAAGTTTTTTCTCCCGTACGGTCGTTGCATGTGTTTCGATAACTTGCTATTTTGATTGCTCGCTATTTCCGTAAAAATTTTCTATATGTTGAAATTATTGTAAAATTCTGAAAATGTTTTATCAATTTTTTTCAGTTGCAGGTCTTCAGCGTAGATGGAAAAGTTTAAAAGATTCTTTTAACAGAGAACTCGGTATAATTGATAAAATAAAACGCGGCAAAATGCAGGATACAGGAAGGAAGACGTATGTTTATTTTAAACAACTTTCTTTTCTAAACTCGAGGAATAAGAAAGCTTCTCAAGAAAATACTTCTCAATCAAGAAGTACATGTCACGAAAGGACTTCTGATAACTATTCTGAAGACGAATCTCAGGAAGATGAAACAAATAGTGTGAATCAGACAACTCCGACAGCTCCAACACCACAACCACAAAAAAGGAAAAGAGTATTAGAACAGAACCAAATCGGGGGGGATTTGGGGAGGGACTTGAGGAGAGATTTGGGGGGGAACTTGGGGGGAGATTTGAGGAGGGATTTAGGGGGGAACTTGGGGAGAGATTTAGGGGGGGACTTGGGGAGAGATTTGAGGGGGGATTTGGGGAGAGATTTGGAAAGGGAGTTGGGGGGGGAGTTGGGGAAAGATTTGAGGAGGGATTTGGGGGGGCTGGAGAGGGGGTTCCACCTTTTAGCTGCTAATATGGAAAAAATAACAATAGCTTTAACAGCGAAGGACGACCCAGATAGGCATTTTCTTATGTCTCTGCTTCCTCATTACAAGACGATACCTGAACAAACAAAACTTGATGTGCAAGTGGACATGATAAATCTCATTAAGAGATATCAATTACAGCTTTATCCAAGACCCTATTAAAACACAACATACCAAACATTCAATCCATATTATCCTGATTCCTCCAGTTATCCCCAACTTATGGATCAATCACTACAACCCACTGATGTAACATCCACTCCTGCTCCGTTCACTTCCACTGCGGATATTGGTCCTCGCAGATGGTTCAAAAGAACAACCTGTCGCAATCTTTCCAAGCCCAATATCTCCAACTATGTCAGCTATGTTTTCCATAGAGTCTGATTCCTCAATGTGCGACTATTTTTATTTAAAAAAAGAATTTAAATCGTGTACAAAAAGCATATTAATTAGATGTAATATTGTTAATATAAAAATGTTTGTGTAAAAAAATAAAATTTTATTACTATTTATTAATTAACTCATTTTACGCTATTATTTACTAACTTATTCATTTTATGCTAACTTAATGGGAGTGTGAGCTTTTGGTAGCGCCATTTTTCTCCAATACTGTGTTCTTTCGCCTCGTGACAGATTTGTATTTTCTCATTTTGTAATGCTCCTCTGTGACGCCTGCCTTCGACTGCCGCGATTATTGCTGGCAACATCGCGTAAAAATGATCACTTGCATCGCGCGTGCGAATAATATGGTTCAATTAAGGCACCGATTGTGTCTGGATTCTTAATACGTGAAATAATACAGAGCACGAGATTAATACAAGAAACGCATTTAAAAATAGCATTTTCTAGCATGAAAGAGGGTGCTAATATTTGAAGAATGTATTTATAAATTATTTAACAACGAACGACGCGTGGAGCAAACGATACACGTTAAATGCCATTTCAACTGTATTACGTTTTACATTTGACGAGCTGAGTAAAGTTAAATATTAAGAATAGATCTTTTTTCATTATGGATATATTTCTTACATAGAAAAAATTAATACACAAACGGATGAGTTCTTTTGATAGTTCCGGGATTAAGTTCCTTCTTCTGCCTTCAGTTCCTCTATGAGCTTCTTGCGCTCTTCTGCTCTCCTTAAATTAGCTAATACGGTACTTTCAAGCTCTGCATCTGACATTCTTGCCTGCTGCGTCTGTATAATTCGAAAACATTACAAATTAACGTTATTATGCGCAATAAATTAAGTTTTTGAATCTTATATGTACTATGAGCTACAAATAATACATACGAATATATTAGGTGCAGAAGGAAAACTGACAGACCCACATGGCGTGCTGTTAAAATGTGCGGCTGCAGGAGATGTAGGCTTTTCAACGTTAGAATTTGCGCTACTCGCAACACCGCTTGAACGTTTCTGTGTATCCCACAGAGCACGTAGCGTTAATGGGTTTTGGGCTAAACCGATTTCTGTCTGGAGCGCTGTTTCCTGAAACAAACATTTTATTAAAGAATTTTACCTTGAATTTGGATTATACATGTATATACATTCTTATTGCTTCATTATCAAGATGGCATCTTGTGGACTTACCGCTGCACTCTTATCTCTAAATTCAATCATGGCGCTGCCTTTCTTTGTAGATGATATAACAAGACCCTCTATGTCCCCGTACTGCAGAGAAAGAATAATTAAAAATATCTGATCTAAATATCTGACAACGAGCTCTAATGAGAAATGGAATTGGAAGATTGTGATATTTACCTTGGAAAACATTTTATGTAGATTATCATAATTGTATCCATTTGTCTGATCACCATCTTGTACCTTCCATCTTATCTTGATTCGAAAGTCTCCCACATTAGACGTTGAAGCGTCCGATGAGCCGTAAAGCTTCTTCAAGAGTTCTCGCGTGAAGAACATCTCTTCTTCTATTCGCTTGTACCACCATTCTTGTAATCTTTTCACTTCCGCCTGAATAATTATATACTTTATATTTATATATCTGAACCAACAAATCTAAAAACCTAAAAAGTATTATAGCAAAATCAAGCTGATCGCATACTTTTGTTCGTTCGCCGTCGGATTTAGTCTCAGGCACAGACTCACATGATCTCCTATAGGCCTCCTCGCGTGCCTCTAAGTCCTCCTTCAATTTTTTCCTCTTGGCATCAAATTGTCTAACGCGTTCCTTCGCCTGCTTCCTGGCAGCGATAGCTTGATCATATGCTGCCTTGTTTCACAATACATTTTTAATAAATTAGACCAGCTACGAGACTTTCTAGAAGTCTAAGAAGAAAGGTGTTTGATGATGACAAATGTTTAATGAATTTTGAAGAGATGCCGAATATACTTACCCTGGCCTTTGGGTCTGTTAATATTTCCAGTACTTTAGAGAGTTCCTGAAATAATTCCGCGGCTCTTGGATTGTCAGGATTCTTGTCGGGATGGCACGTCAAAGCTTTCTTGCGATATGCCTTTTTGATCTGAAAATATAAATATCGTGTCAAGTGTTTACCTCTTTGATATTTCCTGATTATCTTGGAAGTATTTCTGCTCCGTTATAAAACAGAAGTAAACATTTTTACGCAAACAAGCGCAATTATCTGAGAAACAAGCTAAACGTGCATACGTTACCTCTGGCATAGAAGCTGTTGGCTCTACACCAAGCAATCCATATAAATCCATTTGTGTAAGTGGATCCATTATTGATTTGGGTAATTAGGGGCTTCACCTCAAATATCGATAAAATAAACTGTATAATTACCGCAACACAAAACACACTTTTAGTAAGTTAACCTCAGTTTATTCCTTGTCTAAACACATGCGTACTAGAGCAGAAGTGTGTGCTCCCCGCTTTATTGCGCATGTGCATACGAGATCGTCGAGATCTCCCAATCGTTCCCGCCTCTTCGAGGCGTCTTCGATATTTCGAGAATTGCACTATCGCCGTTCGAGAAATTTCAAATCATGCTCGAGAATCGTTTTTAATTTTTTTGTTTTGAACGAGCTTTTAATTTATTTTCGGCACGTTGTATCGTTTTTATTATCTCCTCTGATACGTCGATCTTCTGTATAAAATATCTATCGTGCTGCCATATTTCGGAAAGGCAAGAAGAATACAGAAAGCTAAAAAAATTTTGAGACTTTAAAAGTGTATAGTACATTCGAAAAGAAATAGATCTTTAAAGGCTTTTGAAATCTTGAATCCTCTTTTTCACGTGCTGTATATTTCCATCTGATTATTTCTCTGTCGTTTTTTTTTTTATTATTATTATACATTTAAATGTCATTTTTCGAATTTAATTGAATGCTGGCGCGCGAATAAAATATGGATCGAATGAAGGTATGTTTATCAAATCTACCTTGGCACTCAGACGCACACTATATACATCGTAAATATACTTTAAAAAGCCTGTATTAATGCTTGGCAATATTTAACAAACGGAAAATTGTCCTGGCATCTATCAGTAATGATCAAAGCGAACTTAAATATCCGACATATTTACTTTTTCGAAATATAATCGTTGTTTTTACAGGTTAGGTTAGGATGTTGCTCGAGTTGTCGGCATGTGTGGCGGTTGATATGTGTGAAAGTGTACTAACAGATTTCTCTCACTTGCAGTTCCTCCGGAATATTATAAGATTCGAAGCGTACAAAGAAGAAGAAAAGGAAAAGAAGAAAGAGAAGAAAAAGAAGAAGAGCAAGTAAAATTAAAAGTTAAAGGATAAGAAGAAACAACCAAGAAGAGGAACAACAACAAGAGGAGTAAACTTAGATATTGGAAGGTGAGAGAGAAAAACAAACGAAATTAGGCGAGAAAGGCGAGAAGAGAAGAACAAGCTTGGATATTAAAAGGTAAGAAAGAAGAACAAACGAAATTAAAGGACAAGAAAAGCGAGAAGAGAAGAGAAGAAGGGAAGAATGTCGAGCGTGATCGTGTTGAGTGATTCGGACGAGCCAGCGTCTCCTGTTGCCGACGTGCACGATAGAATCGAGTGGGAGATCGACGGCAAGTATCATTCGGACGCTACGAGTGACCTGGATCTCCCGGAGGTGCCGTTTTGCCGCGACATCGCGAGGAACTTGACGTTGCAAAGCCAGAGTCTTCCCGATTCGAACGCCGACGATGGCTGTGAACACGCTGAGGGATCGCCGTTCGATTCGGAGGACAATCGGGTCGAAGGAACCTCGCAGAAGGCGACAGTTTCCAAGAGGGTCTCCAAGAAGGACAAGGAAACGGTGAGGGAGGAACGAGCGAGACGTCGGGAGGCTCTGGCGAGGGAGAAGGCGTTGAAGGCGATCGAGAAGAAGACGTCGAGGGACATCAAGCCCGGCGAGTGCATGAAGTTCATGGAAGTTAATCTCGATCAGGGTATCGACGCGGTCGCTTCGCGAGGGGAGATTGAGAGCGCGTTGCAGAATGCCGGTATTAAGTTCAATGTAACCACCGAGTTGATTCCCAACAGTATTACGTGGCGGAGAAACGTCGAGGAGGACTACGTCGACGAGGACAATGAGATACGCACAAAGAGAAGTGTACGGACGGAGGAGTACGCTATTGTGATTTGGAGCAGCTACGAGGCGGTGAGACACGTGGCGGAAGGCACTTTCTGCACGTCTGTTTCGAACAGTAAGGACCTAATGCCGAACTATAATGTGACTCTGGTCATCTGCGGGATGGAGGACTATTTCGCGTATCGGAAGAAACAGAAGTCGGATCGGAATCCTGGAGGCAAAGGGTCCGGGCACAACGGCAAAGGTAATCAGCGGTTTGACACGCTACCGATTATATCGAGGCAGCAATTGGAGATGTGCCTGACCGAAATTCAGATAGTGGATAGCTGTAGCAGCAGATTAATCGAGAGCGCGCAGGATTTAGCATTGATGGTGTGTCAGTATACAAAATCCATTTCGGAAATACCGTACAAATTGCAGAAGGAAAAAAATGAGGAAGGCAAATTCGACTGGTACGTTGCGGGGGATAATAAGAACACCGTGCGCGTGGACAAAGATGGTAACGGGTTGAAGAGACTGTGGCAGCAGCAACTGTGCCAATTTAACTTGAGTAGCTTGGAAACGTCGGAGGCAATATGTACGGTCTATCCTAGCCCGATGCAACTTATCAAGGTACTGTTTATAATTAAATATTTCTATGTAATGTTGGAAAATCTATCTCTGCTTTGCTTATTAAATAGTAAGTTAAATATAATACTTTTATGTTTCTAGGCTTATAGAAATTGCACACCTGACGAAGGCATGAATTTATTAAAAGATATATCAGTGAGTCTTTTAGTTTTATTTCTTCCTATTAAACAATTAGAATATATAAAATTATCGGACGTACTTGAATTATTTCTAATACATACATTCTACTTTAATCAATTGTACGGATGTAAATTGCAATTATATTTTATACGTGATAAGATATTTAGCTGTTATACAATCCGTAATCTTACAATTACTATAGTATTATAGTTTAAAATTTAAATAAATTTGCAAAAGTTAATGTTATTTGACAGATAAGGAGAGCGGCAGGACCTCTCACAACTTCACGTAAAATTGGTCCCGAATTAAGTAAAAAGGTGTACATAATGTTCACATCGCAAAACGGGGACGCTTTATTGGGAACTGAGGTATAAATAAGCTGTAAGCTTTTGTAGGAACTTTATCTGTATATAATTCCATTTCTATAATCCTTCATGCTAAGTTCGTAATACAAATGCGTTAGGTCATGAAACAATTATACATTCCTAGAACGTTATTAATCTATCTTAGAAATAGTTTAAATTTTTTTTCGTTCTGTTAATACAGATAGAAAATATTTCAACTTTTCGATGATACTTTCGTTTCCTAAAAATCAAATTTTCTAGTCGATTTAGAATATGATTTATATTTGTAACTTAAATTAAGTAATACATTAATACAATGCATTTTTGCGCAATTATTTCTTACTCTTTCTCAAACACGTTTCAGAGACGTTCAGAAATAATTAAATAACAAGAAACTGGTATTCTAAGAATAATACGTATTTTTCAAAATAACTGCATCACTGCATCATTATTTAACCATCTATTTTTTTTGTTTTTCCCATTCTTTGGTCAATTTCAGTCTAGCAGCGAGCGTTCTATACGTATAAAAAATTTTACAGTACTATCAGACATAATTAAACAATAATTATAACATTCTATTTGTTGGAGTGTACATGCGTTTTTTCACATCTTTCTGTTTGTGTCACGCATATACAATATAGAACTCTAAAATAGATCGCATTTATAATCTCATTATAATAACAAAGTATCAGTAATCGCTATTAAAGCTTAGAGACCAGTACAATGTGTGTGATATACAATATATAGTAATTATAATATGACATAATTATCATATATATATATGTATACGTATAGGTTTAGATTATATCAGTACTTTGAAATAATCATACTTTGCAGGTATCTTCTCACATATCGCATAATTAATGTTCATCAAACAATTACGTCCTTATCTCGTAAAGCAATTACTTATGTATTATACGTTTGGATTTCACCAACATTGCCGAAAACAGATTGTTCTGAATCGTGTTCTATCTCGTTCAGTTTGGTCTCGTTGAAAATATCGCAGTCATCGAGAGTTACGGATGATGTCTCGTCGATTGCAGGCGCGGGTACGTATTTGCGTTCAATGATATTCGTTTTAATAGCGTCTTCAATCTCGAGCATGTTATCCGCACAACGATCATCATAATTTGTCGATGCCGTGGAAGATTGCGCTTGCACGAATCTATGCTCGTTTTTCTCGAAGGTCAGGATTTTAGGTGCGTTTATATCTTCCGGGATTTTCTTGGTCGCAACCACCTGCTCGCCTCTCTCGGTCTGCGAGTTTCTTTTCGCCAGTATGATCTTGGTGTACTTCACGGTAGGCTGTACCAACCGATTTTCCAGCGGCACTCCGACCCTGCTCCTTGCCGAGACGCCGCTGTTCTGCGACCGCGTCTGCAGTATCAACTGATTCAAGTTTTGCACAGACATATTAGGACATATAACGGCCTGCGTGGAAGCCGCTCCGAGTTTATTTGACTGCAGCTTGTCTTGTTTGTTGCTGATTAAAACCACCTTGGTGGTATTGTTCAACTTCGGTCTCTCCTGAGGCTCTTTAGCCAGCGTCGTTTGCGTCATCACCGGCATCTTGTTTATGTTGCTCAAATTGTCGTCGTCCTTGGCGAATATTATCGGTATATCCAGTATATTACCCAGATCGTCGTCTATATCGTTTGCGACGTTTCTCTTCTGGACACTTTGAGGCTTCCCCTTTTGAAGTCTCTGCAAGTTGTTGGCGTTGACCGTGATCTTCGGCATCGTCTTCATCGATTTTTGCGAGATTTTCAGCTTGTTGGATAGCGGCAAAAAGTTGGAGCTTTGACCGCTAAATGGGACTATCACCGACGAAGGCGCGCTTCTGGTGTGGAGGGAATTCTCGACAATGACTATGTTACCGCACGATGTATTATGAGAGTTATCGGTACTATTGGATACGACTCCTTGCCGTGGTAAGTGCGCCGACTTGGATACGTCCAATAAGTGAGAATCACTGCTCCCTCCCATCTCTTCCATCGCTATAAAATATACACGTATATTTGTTTCATATCTTAAAAAGGTATATATAATGTATAAGGTATATATAAGGTATATATTTAAGCCTATCACGTATTATTAACATGCAACAGTATCATAAGACACTATATGAACACATCCGATATGTTACACTTTTACATGATTATCAAATAATTTTTTTAATATTCTTTGAATACTTTATTTTTGGTATTCAATTTTCCCGAACACTTTTCTAATATTTAGTTCTGTATTTAACTATTTACGTATCAAAATGACGTATTATTTTTATTTGACAATTCAATGAATACAAACATTGAGACATTGGACAGATGGAAATTTAGATTAATAGGATTTATATTTTATTCTAACTAAACAACAAGGAGCGTTAAATAATTTCCTTACCAAGTATATACTTAATGCGACGACCTACTGTTATAATAAGTGCTTATCACTGCCCAAAATATCTGATGTAAGTAAAGGCATTAATTAAATCTCCCAAAACCAACTGTCTAAAGTTACCCAGACTCGTTAATCGTTTACATTTTACTCAAGGTGGACGGGATTAAGGTTGGGAAGTAAACAAATTCGAATTACATGTTACAAAAAAATATTTATTGAATACAAAATAAAAAGCAACCTAGTATATTTACAATACTTTTTTAAAATATGTATTTGAGAATGCCTGACGATCCTTATTGTCACCTTTAGTCACCTTTATTCGATTGTTAATTTAATATCTATAGTTAATATTTATAGGACACAATATACATATGCCTAAATATATTCACTATGTACAGTCACATTGCCAATTGAACGATAGGATTGAAAGTTCTCAGTTCTCTATATGTATTTGAAATATTTTGTAAATACATGTAATTAAATAATTGAAAGCAATAAATATATCTTGTTAAGTAATTCTAACTACTTTAGTTACAAAGGAAATATGTACAAAATGAGTAAAATAAGTAAAATATAAGTCCAGTATCAAATTTAATATTAAGTAGCCTTATGATTATTTTGGTTTCGCATAAAGAAAATTCCTAATAATTGTGAATAAATTGACAAAATAATGTAAATTTAGGAATAGTTACGTGATATATCTTTTATAAAAATATATATATGAGTTTTCCAAAAGTATTAGGTTTTTTAAAAATATAACTAATACGTTTTAAATCTGTATATTACACAGTATACAGAATATTATATATAATACTTCAATGGAAAAAGATCATTATAGCAAAATATACATATATGTACATGAGGTTCTTCCATATATGTGGTTTCAAATACACATAGTATTATATTTATTACATAAATTTTATTTCCATATGAAAATTTATCTGAAAGTTATATAATTTTTATAAAAATATTGACGTAAAGCAATAAATTGTAAATTATACAATTTAATATTTCAAAATTTTAGTGAAGTTATTATTTGCTTCAAATACTTTAGTTTGTCTGTGCATGTTTCGCTAGACTATTTTAAAAGAGCAAGTATGAGATTACAAGAAACTGAAAGAATTTTTTAGAACTTTTTAACTCCCCTTTTACTACAGTTTATTATTTATCAAAATATGTGTATCATACAATTTTGAAAATTATGATTTGCGCTATTTTATAGAAGTATAAAAGTTTAATAGAAGAATATTATGTGTATGTTTATGTGTATGTGTATGTTTAAACTTTTACTAAAATACCAAGAAGGAGGCATAAAAATGTAAATTTATTGACTATATATATTTTTTGTTCGTGCGCGTGTGCATGTGTGTATCACATTAAATCAGTATTATAAAAATTGAATTTATGTTAAAACAACTAGTTTACAGTGACTAAATTTATAATAAAAATTTAAATATTTTCGAAATTAATATCATCATTGTAAAATGTTCAATTTGTTAAATATGAAAATCGCCCTAAGTACGCTCACAAAGCAAAAATTATAACATCTGGTCATTCAATAAACAAACAATCCAAAATTATGTTAAACCCCTACATGTATGTTTATTTATAACTACGTTTCCGATAAATCAATTAATAATGGTTTAGATAATTGTAATCTACCTTTTGAAGGGGTCGATGCGGACGACGTTACGGTATTCGCTGATGACGTGGTGGTCGTTAGTAGGATACTAGAAGCTGATGATGCACGGGTGGAGGATGCACCGCTCGTAAGCGCAATCGAATTCTTTCCACTTTGCAAAAGATTCGACAAAGTGCCGCTTGTCGCCGTAGGCTTACTACTTCCCGCTATTTAATTGAAAGAAACAAAAAATTAATAAACACAAGTACCATTTTATTACTCTTCTACTGATAACGTTAATTAATTATACATTTATCTTACCTGTAGGAGTTGCATTAACTCTAATTTGATTTCCCGTGGGCGTGGTGAAAACGTTCACCAATTTCGTGTCTCCACTTTTGTCAGGAGTATTGACCTGTCTGTAACTGTTCGCGACCATATTCGAGTAAGACTTATTAGAAGATATCGTTTTCATTTTTGAAACATTCTGCAACGGCACATTCGAGATGATCTTCGGTGGCACTTTAACGGTCGTAGCTGAGGATTTGGATACATTAGGTGTTTTGGAGGAAGTGGTCGTCGATTGACTCACTGCAGTGGGTGCTAAACGTATCGGCCCTATCGGCGCCAGACTCGCTAGTGTGCCAATATTGAGCGTTATGCCATTTTCTGAATTAATGTTTGTCTGTAACAAGTAATATTTAGCATAATCTATATGGAAATAATTATGATTATTATTAGTATATTATTTGTAGTATATTGTATAATATAAATGTCTCATCGACCATTATAGCATATTATCTAATACATATGTATTGTGCATTGTGTGACAATTACCTGTCCAGCAAGTCTAGGAGTCTTCAGGTCTGAGAACTGATTTCTCTGATTGTTCGTGGGCCGCTTCCGTTTCGCGGTGGAAGTATGATTTGTATGTTGCCCACTTACTTGCGTCAAATTGGATTGGATATTGAATGCACCGATTTTAGGAGCCGAGCTCGATGCCACGTTCGTTCCAACCGATAGCGCGGAAGATACCGGCGTGGTCGGCCGAGATTTCTTCACGGTCGGTGAATTAGGTTCGCTTTCCACGGAACTGCTGGTCGAGTTCCTTCGTTTGTGAGAGTCCTTTTTGTTCTTGCTGTCACAGTTAGTCGTCATTGTCGGTCGCAGCGGTAATGGATGCGGTTGCAATAGGATGCTACCGATGAAATCCCCAATCTCGTCCAACACGCATCTGTCCACCATGCTCTGCGTGATGCCCTCGAGCACCTTTTTAGTCGTGGATATTCTGAGATGATCGTCGGCCGTGCCCACGACCACCAGACTTGTCTCGACCAGCATTTTCTCACGGAGTTCCTCCAAATCGTCCGGTCTAACGAGGGTGGCGTTTTGCCCAATAACGAACATGACGGGACAGCGAATGTCCATTAACATATCATCAGGCGTGCCCCGTTTTCCCTCGACCGTTGTGAAAGGAAATCCAATGCAGATAACAGCAGTTATGTGTTCCATCTGAGCCACCTACACCGCAAAGTAAATAAAAGTCAATAGACCTGTTTTTCTTCAGCTGAACTTCTTGCATGGTTCATCTTTCTTTTTTTTTTTTCAAGTTGGAGAGAAAAAGTGAAAAGATGAACTGTGCGAGAAATTTAGCTAAATAAAACAAATCTAAGAACAATTGGAAGAAAAATTGATGCAAGATATACAGAAGTAATTTTACCTGACAAGCAAGCGCTGCGCCAGCGTTGAAACCTACGAGTATGATCGGCCTACCAGGACAGTCACTTCTGACATCTTGTATCTTGGCTCTTGTGGCCTGAACCAATTGATCCATGCACACCATCATAGTCATTCTGTTGGCTGCCAAACTCATGTGAGTGTGAACGGTAGCGACCATGCCTAACAATCCCAACTGCGTGATCCATTTATGCTGACGAGACGAAACGGATGCCGACGCGATGCCGGAAGGTACTACTATTAAGATCGGATTTCCGGGCAATTTTTTCTGCAATCAATTACGTTAATTCCCGTCTTACATTACTAGACCTATATAATGTACGTTAATGATCAAATTATATTTACAGGTCTATTTCCGCTCAAATTCTGCGCGACTGGATCCCAAGATCGTTTTAAGAGTGATCCGAGCGTTTCCCACGTTATGGAGCCGTTCTTAGCGCTGATATTCGGTTGCACAGCGATCATCTTATCGATTAGCTGAGGGATCTTCAGTCGCAAGGTCTGTAAGATATCGAGATAAATGGCTAAATATTCCTGGGGGAGACGCTCGAACAGCAAATTGTGCAGCCATTGAACCAGTCTCCAGTCCCATCCGGTCGAGGCTAACGTTTCGCGAAATCTCCTCGCTGCGATATCCACCGACGTTCTTCGAAAGATCGGTTCCGTTACGCTCTTAGCCTTGGCTAATCTTGCGAGTCTCTCCGAACTTAATATCCGTGTCACTTTGGTAAATATCCGATTCTGAATCGGAGACCACAAGGTTTTCTCTATCTTCTCCTCCCAATCCTCCTCCTCGTCCTCCTCCTCGGGTCGCGCAAAATTCGCTAACCGTTCAAACTCGTCCATCATATGTCGAACTCTGGTTAAATCAAAAGGCAGTGGCGATGGTTCGCTGTCAATGTTTTCCACGTCGATTTCCTCATCCTTTCTGTGCTTATCACTAAGATGGAAGAAGTAATATAATAAGTCCATTGTTACGTCTATTTTGTATCCTTCCATATTTAAGCAAAAATCAAATTAAGTTAGACGTTATAAATAATCATACCTCACAGTGTTCTTCGAGAAAAACAGCTTTTTTATAGGCTTTACATAAATGTTTTCTGGTCTCCAGTTCCAAGGTCGAGCATAGCAATGATCTTTGAATATCGCATCACTGTCCATCTCGTAATTTCCAGCTAGTTGATGTAGGTACGCCGTCAGTTTGTTCGAAATGTCGTCAAACGTATCAGTAGTTGGACTTGGTAGCCCAGAACTGCTCGCAGAGGTGGACGGTGCCATAGGCATGGACGTTAACATTATGCTATCTTAAATTAGATCGGGTAGTCGAGATAAATATCTATTCACTCGATATCTCTTTGAGTTTCTTCCAAATATCCTATTATGTGTTACAATGTCATTATTATATTGTATAAAACATTAAAATTTTCCTCTTTCTCTCTTTTTCTCTCTTCCTCGGTTTGTCCCTGAAACAGATATCTTTCAATTATATCTTGTATACGTAAATTTAGCTAGGTGTGTGCTTATACTATTGTCACAAACAAACGGTAATTATAAAATATTAAGCTTGATCTTTTTAGCTGAACTTCTTGCACGGTTTATCTTTTCTCTTTTTCTCTCCAACGTGAAAAGAAAAAGAAAAAAGATAAACCGTGCAAGAATTTTTCAGCTAAAAAGAAGAGGCCTATTGTTACAGCATTAAAACCCTTTTGCGAATTAAGTAATTAGAGATAGATTTCTTACATGCGAGAAATCCGAGAACTAACCTCCACTAACCTCTGTCTCCTTTTTTTCACGTCGGACGACGAACGCTTAGCTGTTCATTGAATTAGTATCATTCTCATCTATCGTGTAATCCTGCATTCATTGGAATTTGTAAACGATATTGTGGCTACTTGTTTCACTTTCACGTATCAGAGGACATCCCCAACGCGAGGATAAACGCGCTGGCAAACGTCTATCACTTGCGTCACTCCGTCACTGCTCACTGCTCAATCACGTGTGACTCGATGTCGAAAGTAATTAGGGTATTATGTGTCATTAATTGTGATAATACGCACAGGCATTGCGTTTCGCTAGGTTGATACGACGAGTGGCACAGGCTTACGCGAGAAAATGCAATGCATCCATTTTGCCATTTTTTCATAAAGCGAACAATTCTTGCCAATTCTTGCATACATAATACATACGTGAATATATATGACTGTGTGTGTGTGTG